GTTTCTTCTCCATCCTTCGGTGCAGGGGTGCCCAGTCTCTGCTGGGTCGGATAAGGGTGTGGGGTCGACCCAGCAAATGGGATAAGCACGTGGGCCCTGTGCAGTCTGGATCAGACCCACCCCGTGTGCACTCAGTTGGGCGCACAGCCCCGGCCCCAGTGCACTGGATCAGACCCACCAGCCTGCTCCGATCTGGTGCACGGGGCCACCGGTTGTTAATATACACTAGCGAGATCCCAGGCAAAGGCCAAGCCCCCACTACAGAGAAAAACAACCTTCCCCCCAGTTCGTACCAATCTGAGCATGGGGTAAAATCCCTTCCAGACCTCAAATATGGCATCGGTCTGATCCTGAATGGGGAGGGGCAAGTCTCAGACCAGTTCCCCCAGCCCCAATCGGACAAGGAGGGCAAGGAGCAGAAAGCAGAGCAGACAATCAGGCAGGGTGCACAGGGCAGGGAGCAGAAAGCAAAGCAGTAGGTCGGGCTGGGAGCACGCAGTAGGGAGCAGAAAGCTGAGCGGAAGATCATACAGAGAGCAGAGAGCATGGAGAAGAAGATCAAGCAGGGAGCACAGAGAAGGGAGCAGAAAGCAGAGCAGGGGGCACAGGGGAGGGAGCAGAAAGCTGAGTGGCATATCGTACAGGGAACACAGAGCATGGAGCAGAAAGCAGAGCTGGAGATGAAGCAAGGAGCACAGGACTAGGAGCAGGAAGCAGAACAGCAGATCAGGCAGAGAGCACAAGGGAGGGAGCAGAAAGCAGAGCGTGACCTGCCTTGGGCTGACTCCTGCTGCAATCTGCCCCTCCACAGTGTCACAGCCGCTCTCCCTGGGGCCTGAGCTCAGACGAGCAGGACCGTCACTGCCCCGGTCACGTTTCTCCCCACGTTTGCCCGCCTGCCGTCTCTGCCGTGGTCCATGGGTGCAAAACCGTGGCCCCTGGGTCTGGGTATCGCAGAAGGGCCCTCCGGGTCTTCTCGCCCAACCCACGGGCACGAGGGCCTCAGCACAGACGAGGCCGATGAGACTCCAGCCTCTCTCCCTCGGGCACATTGGGTTTTGCTTCCACCCCAGGGATGGTCATTTCCATGCCTGCATTCCTCCTCCCCATTTCCCATCCATCGTGGGCCCTCACCATCCTCACCAACACCAGTCCAGGCCCATCACTGGTTGGTCTGGATCTCTGCTCCGGGCTCATGCCCACATCTTCCTTCAGAGACCCCGGTGACAGGTCCGGTCTGGCTCTAGAGCACCTGACGGACGTCCGACACAGTCCCGCCCGGCCCTTCCTGTGTTGGATGCAACCCCTGATCCGGTGGGGCAACATGTGAGGGTGCAGACAAGCCCCAGGGCAGGATGGAGGGTGGTCTCCAGAGCCCATCCATGCCCAAGCAGAGGGGTCTTAGCTTCGTAGAGAAATCAGGCTGGAGGGGACCTGCAGAGGTCACATCTAGCTGGACCCCTGCCCGAGGCAGGATCAGCCCCGTGCAAACCATCCCAGACAAATCCATCATCATTGCCCAAGGCTAGGGATCTGTGGCCGGCTGGAGAGACCCCAGGCCCTGGCCTCTCTGCAATCCAATAGGATATTTGGGGGGCTATAGATGCACTCTTAATAATTTATCCAAGCCTGCCAGGCTCTTTCCGCGCAGACCCAGCGTCATCGCACCATGTGCAACCATTCACTTCCCCCAAATAAATCCGTCAAAATGAGGCATGTGTTGGGTTCGTGCTCTCGGCTTTACAGAAGTCAACTGATGACTCAAAAATATGCGATTGCCGGTGGCTCTTTATTTCCAGCCGCCCTCAGCAGTGCTCCCCCGCCTACGCCATCCTGAGCATGGGGTGAGACGGCAGAAACTCCTCGAGACGAGAAGGTTCACTCCGTCACGAGCAGAGAGATGCCGTTGATTTGGTCTTTTCTTGCCGGCATTTCATAGGATCACACACAATGAGGGTGGAAGGGACCTCGGGAGGTCACATCAAGTCCATCCCCCTGCCCCAAGCAGAACCAGCCCCAGCTACATCATCCCAGCCACGGCTTTGTTGAGATGGGTCTTAAAAACCTCCAAGGATGGAGAGTCCACCACCTGTCTGGGTGACGAGTCCCCCTGTGAATGCCCCGCGGGGGGGACAGGACAGCCTAGGCTTGGTTTGCAGCTGCCCGTGCCGGGACCCCCGCTCTGGGCAGGAATAAATCCCCGGGGACTTTCTCTTCCCCGTTCAGTGCGGTGCAAACCCTGCTCCTGTCCCCTCCAGCGTCTCTCCTAGGCCTGGCCTCGGTCTCTCCCCTAAGGAAGCCCCTCCGCAGCCCCCAGCCTCCTTGCTGCCCTGCTCCGCACCTTGCCCTGATCACTGGACATCATTGGACACTAAACAAAAGTCAGGCTGGAAGGGACCTCGTAAGAGCATCTCATGGCAGGAGCATCCCTGACTAACCCATGCCGGCCAAGTGTCTATCTAATTACTGTCTAGACATCAGGCAGCAGCATCCCAGGCCCAGAGCTTCGAGCGGGAGGAAGAATAAAGCAAAGTGCATGACTGATAAGGAAAGACGTGAACCAGAAGCTCCCCAGGGAGCTTAAGAAGAGGCTGAGCATGAACTGCTGCAAAAACGACATGTGTTTAGACAAACTGCCCCCCACCCCCTCCAGAGGTGAGACCCAGCCCGGCAGAACATCTGGAACGCCCCCCAGCCGGCTCCCAGCAGCTGGGAAAGGTCAGGCCGGGGCAGCCAGGGCTCTGCGGCATTGGGTTACCATAGGGTTTTCTCTCTCACAGGAAAGCATTTCAGGAAAAAGCCAACGGCCGGCCGGAAAATATGACCCTCCGATTATATGCATGAGACCGGAAAAGCTGCGGGGGGGAGAGGAAGAGGGGGGGAGTGAAGCGGGTGGTTTTTAGCTTCTCTCTGCTGTTGCATCCTCATTTAGAGTTGATGGCCAGGGGGTGCAGAAGGGGAAAGAAAAGCCCAGCCCGTGGCCTGCTGGCAGGGTCTCCACACAGAGAAGCCACATCTCAGCTGGGAACAGGGAGGCTTCTCTCAGACCCCAGCGCCGTCTCACCCCCTTCAGCTCCCGGCCTTTTTTCTACTCACTAGTGTGTTAGAAATCCCCCACCGGGAGGAGAAGGGTGTGCTCGCTCCCTGCAGGGCAAGCCAAAATCCCATGCTGGGGGGAGAGCACCGTGTGCGAGTCTCCCTCTGGCACTGGCCACCAGCATGGCCTCAGCCCTGGTTCGCCCAGGTGTCCCGCATCACGCTGGACAGGCCCGTGAGCCACAAAACTGGCGAGGAACAACGTCCCCGGAGAGGCAGGCTTGCTGCCAGATGCGACCAGCTCTGGGGTGGAGCGTGCCAGCAGTTCAGCAGCACGCAGTGATGCCAGGACAGAGCGGGGTGGCTGCCCCCGAGACCGGCTTTCCCATCCCAGAAGCCACGTGGCACAGCTGAGGACACCATCCCAGAATGCGCTTGCGCTAAGCAAAGGAGAGCATCTTGTTCACTTGGTGCTGGGCAAAGGGGCAGCAGCTGACCCCATATGCCTGGGCTGACAAGACCCCCCAACCAACCCCTGTAGCCCGAAGGATTAGGGACAGGTTAGGGAAAGGTTAAATTTAGGGTTCGGGTTAGGGACAGGTTAGGGGTAGGAATAGGGTTAGGGACAGGTTACAGTTAGGGTTAGGGTGCAGCACAGCTCCAGGCCCCTCGTCCGCCTCCTGTGGGGTTTTACCCATCACTGCTGCTTCTGGGCCACCCTGCAAGGCCTCAAGGCTCCTCCGTCCCCCGACATCTCTTTGGGGCGTGGGGGACACACGAGGGGCAGCACGGCTGAGTCCCACGGCTGGCAGGGGCAGCGTGGCTGAGCTCCCAGCATCTCTAGGGAGGGTTGTGTTGACTAATAAACAGTCCCCTAAATCCTCCGTTTCCCAGGGAGGTATTTTAGAGCACTCGTGATGTATTTTTAGGGAGATGCTCGGAGCCTCCCAGCAGCAGCAGGTCTGGCGCCGGGGCCGTGGTCTGCACGCTGGCTGACATTTAGCATATAATTAGATGCCGCGGCGTCTTGGCCGTCTCCTCTGGCCGGCTGCAGTCCCATCAGCTAAACACACCGGGGGGAGAGACCCATTCAGGGGATGGTTTGACTAGCACCTGGGTGTGCGAGAGAGGAAGCAGAGCCTAGCAGGACTTTCCAGGAGCATCCGTCACGCTCATACAAGCCTCATTTAAGAAGCTATGCCCTTTCCGGACCTGCCTTTCCCTCCAACCCGGAGCAAATTTGGGGACGTTATCTGCTCTGTCCTGACTGGAGATGGCCCCAAAGCACGTCGTTCTGGACCGGCGATTTTTCCCTGACCTGCAGGAAGGATGCAAAGGTGGCCGCAGGCTGTGGAGCAAGGAAGAGCACACACCAACTGCTGAAGCTTCCTGAGCCTGACGAAGGGTTTTTGAACCCGAAAGCTTGCTTAATAACTATTAAGCTATTGTCCAAAATAGCTGTGGGAGGGTGACATCCAGCATGGCGCTAGGACCAGGAGAGAACAAGGAGGAGTCCGTACCATAGTGGGGAAAAGGAGGTAGAAGAACAGCCTTGTAAAGAGCTCCGGGCAGGGTTAAAGATCCCTGGTAGACACAGGGGACGCACCTACACATGCATTAATGCGCTTTACTTAACGTGCATTAAATTTAGTACCTCCATTGTGAGGTACTAGGAAAATGCGCATTAGCCTGTCTTAATGCCCATTAACTATATAGCACAGTTTTTATTGATGCTTTAATGCACGTTAAAATAGGCTAATGCGCATTAAGACGCACGTGTAGATGCACCCAGGGAGACCAAGTTGGAACTCAAGCTGAGCAGAAACCCATTTCTCCGTATCTCTAGCTACAGGTGCTTAACATGGGCTGTAGCTCCCCACGTAAGAGAATCATTGCGTTCCCCCAGGCCCACCACCAAGTCTGCAGCAGAGCAACCAGCCCGGAGATAACAGACACCAGACAGATTTCCCTGTGCAAAAAGAACAGAGCATTTATTCCTGCGTTCCCGTACATTTCGAGATACAATTCCAGCACTCCGGACTCCAAGCTGGCATTCCAAGCAACGGTATACTTTAGATAATTGATTTATTTTTTCTTTTATCACTTATAAAGCCATACAATGAACTGCAGAGAGTCAGGCTTCTGTACAAAGGGAAGAGAATAGCCAAGGGGGGAGTTCTGCACATTCACACACGGGTGGCGGGTAACAGGGTCGCCTTTATACACGTGACAAAGGTATGGGCACAAAGATACAAAATATAAAGGATATTTCCATCTCTATAAATACACAGAAACGGGAAAAGTGAGGGAGTTTTCCCCCTCCCCACCCCCTTTTTTTTTTTGCGCGCATTTCTGACTTTTTTTTTTTAATTAACATGGGGAAAATAACCCCAAACAAAAACAAAAAAAAAAACCCCAAAAAAGTCATTTCTAACCTCTTCGTTAACACTGATTAGCAAATAACGTTGTAACATTCCCCAAATGATGACGACAACATACAACAACGGGAGAGACAGGACAGTGAAAGAAATACTGCAAAAAACAAGGATTTTTTTTCTTTTAAAGAACCCCTCCCCCCGCAAAAAAATCCCCACGAAGACCTAGTCTGAAAGAAAACAAAGACCCCGACCCCCTTTGCTGTCTCGTTTTTCTGTCTGCTGAATCAGCATGTTTTTGCTGTCTGGATTCGTTGTTTTGCTTTGTTTTATGGTAGTGCTTTGTGTTCCTGCGGAGCCTTTCCAATGAGGCCCTCGCAAAAGTGCTTTGGGGACTTTAACGACAAGATTTGAAGAGGTCCCTCACCACTAGACGTGATGGGACCTTTGCCCTCAACTGCTGTGGGTAGCCCAACCCCCTGGACGATCGAAGGTACTAGGTCTAGAGAGGCACGCTGCTTACTAGTTGGCCCTCCCGGGATGCATCGGCAGGACAGGTGGGACCCAGGGGACCTGGAATCCAAAGCTGCCCCTCTGACCCCGTCTGGGTCACCCTGACCCGATGACGTGCAGGGGCCGGAGCAGCAGCCAGGGATGAGTCTGACCAAAGACCTGGGAAGACGAGTTTGAAGGCAACGTTTCGACTAGAGCAGCTGGAGAGATGAAGCCAACATCCCCCCATGCTCAAGGCTGGATTGGGTTCACCTGACTAGGGAGTGAGGCACATGGCTGGATGGCAGCACCAAGGAGGAGGGGTCCAGCTGATGCATACTGGGAGGGAGGTTGAAGAGCGTGACCCGGTGCTCATTGAAGACGATGGAAAGACTTCCCCTAAAGTACCTTCTGCCTCTGTCTTGGAGAAGGGATTAAGAGATAAGCAACTGAGGCCAAGTGCTTTGTCTCTGTGGTTATTACATCCAGATAGGTTAGAGACTGACTGAGCTGTGGCTTTTATCACTCGGTCTGCAGCTAAAGACGCCAGGTTCTCATGTACCCGCTCTCAACTTGCCAGGAAGAGAGAGCTCCAGCCAGTCTGCCTCAACCGGGCCTTTCTGACATTCACACACATTGCATTTACCATGTAATTCACTGGTTAACTGCACCATACATTTAAACAGGTACACATGAAAAGTAATAACTGCAGCATTAAAATGGCCAGCCAGGCACAAAAATGGCCAGCCAGGCACGAAAATGGCCAACCAGGCACAAAAACGGCCAACCAGGCACAAACACGCACTTGAAAAACACAGGACATTTTTGTAGCTGGTTTCTATCGAGCTTGAATTCAAACGTGTGGCCTGGCACTTACTCCAGAATCGACAGCAAAGAGGGTCGTTCAAAAAAAATAAAATAAAAAGGCACAGACAGGAAACAAAAAATAATAATACATACGCAGGATCGGGGGAAAGTGCGTTTCAAAGGCTATCTTTGGCAAGAATATATGCAGTTCTTTGTGCATGAAGTTGGTGTGTGTGTGTGTGTGTGTGTGTGTGTGTGTGTGTGTACACATGTGGGTGTGTGTAAGATATAACATCCACTGCTGGGGGGAAAAAAATGGCAGTGAGATTACAACAAAACGTTTGCTGGGCTAAATGGCATTGTGTGTCCATCTCAAATATGGTGTCTGCATCGAAAGAAACCAACCCAACGCCTTCGCTGGCCCTTTCGAACACAATAAAATGAACGTGGACAGTGAAGCCAGGCTGTCAGCTGGCGTACATCGGCGTGGTAGCTGGGTGGACATCAGCAAAGTTATACTGGGCATGTCTACATGTGTGCTTTAATCCGCATTAGCCTATTTTAATGCACGTTAACTAAATAGCACTTTTTTTCAGTGACACTTTAATGTGCATTAAAATAAAGTGCATTAAAGCACATGTATAGACATGCCCGGAAGTACTAGGTTTACTGCACATTATTTAAAGCACATTAATGAACGTGCAGACGCGCCCACTGATGCGACTTGGTGAATCCAGAAAGTTACCCAGAAAATGCAACTTTCAACCCAAAGTAAACACATCTGGAAAAAGAGCTGGTTAGTTCCTTACTAGCTTTGTGTTATAAATACAATCTGCGGGCGACCTTAGCATTTGAGATTTCGACAGGGTCTAAAAATCTTCCGTCTTCAGCGAGTGAGTTAGTATCTGAGCCGTGAGCAGGTCACAGCAGAAAGCAAGTGTTTTGTCGCTGTCGGGTCTCGGCTGCGGTGGGGTTATACACGAGATCGCCGGGTTAATTTGATGGGAGCTGCCCTCTGAGTTTTGGGTTCGAGCCCCAATTTTGTAGAGCGGGCCAGCGGCTTGAAATCAAAGAGAAAAAACCCAACACTGGTTTTAGCGGTGAGGGAAAAAAAAAAATAATGTAGTCTGAAAAATAGAGACTTGCAAAAATATATCATCTTTATATCTCTATAAACACAGTGTTTCTCTAATCGGTTAATGGCAGGGTGAGAAGGTCATGGCTGAGCGGTCCATCTGCCTCGAATTCTGCAGAAGGAGGGAGGTTTCTATTGTCGAAAGCAACTTAAATGCTATAAAAAAAGGCCTCAACCGTAGGGTGGGACGGGGGGCGCGGAGCCCCCGTCAATGCTTCCATCCACGCAGCAGTCTCTCAACACATCCCCGAGACCAACCAAAGGCTTCGACGCGCACGCAGCCGCGTCCCGCACATGCACACACACACGCACTCACGCACACGCCACCGGCCCTCGCGTCACATGGCAACGGGGTTGCAGCTCACGCGCTTGGCATGCTTCGCTTGCTTTAGGTGCTAACGAGTTCCTGTAGGCCGAAGGGGAGGGGAAGGGGGAGGCTGGGGTCTGTAAGAGGTGGGTCAGGGAGGGGAGGGGGGTCAGCTGTTATCCGTGGCGCTATACACACGAGGCTCTAGACAGGGTGCAGGGGGCTGTATATAGTGGAGATAAGATACGCCGAAAGCAACAGGGCAAAAAATAAATATCTTCGGTGGAAATTTAACCTTTCCTTGAAAAGATTTTTGCGATTAGCTTACAGTAATCCTGTTGGGAAAGCTCCTATATATATTAGATATAGCAGGGCCGCGTCTCTGGAAGAGGGAGCAGCGCTCAGGTGGAGGGGCCTGGGGCTGGGGGTCTCCGGGAGGTGAACACACAGCCTGGACCACGAAGCCTTGCGTTATGTTGTCCCAATGACGTCCCTACCGCCCTTTCCCTGGCCGTGTCCCTGCCCCAGCTGCTCCGGCGGGTCTATAATCATGGTACATGCAAAGGGGGTTTGGTGACAATGCAGCTCGTGGGACTGAACTGGGGCTGTGAGCGCAGGCTGGAGGGCTCTGGGGAGATGCCCTGCGAGGGCTTTTGGGGTTCCAGATTTCAGAATTAAAAACTAACAGACCCATCGGCTTGGAGGCCCACAAACAAGCCTGGCCCTTTAGGTTTTCCCCCCTGAAGGCACCTGGCTAAAGGTGCAACCAGGCACCAAGGCAGAAAGGAAATCCTGTGACTTTCTAGAGCCCCCCCCGCCACCCCCAGCTCTTCACCCCTCGGCGCCCTCCTCACAGCCAGGCCACCCAAATCCTGATAGGATTGCCTCAGCGCATCTCTCCTGGCATGGGCAGCTTCTTATGCCATATCTTTTCACGTACAAATGCCTGCCTTTTCCCACAAAACAGCTGGTGGAAAACGGCGGGGGCATTATAGGCGAGGAAATACGGTAAGTGCCGTTTCAGCTGCTTGCCAGGGGAAAGGCGAAGTCCAGGCTGCCCTACAGCGAGCGGCCCCTGCTCCCTCCCTCCCTCGCAGCACGGGAGGACCTCGCTTTCTTCCTCCTGCCTTTCAAACACAAGGCACAGGTCTTATTGCAGGACGCGTGGTAGGCGGGGAAATACAGTATCAGATCTGAGGACAGGAGAGAAAGGGACCCCGGTATCTGCAGAACCCGCACGCTCGTGGCTGCCCCGTCGCGTGCCCACGCACGTGCTACACAACACGCGGCCTTTCTGCGCCAGACCGAGGGGTGGTGGCCTCCGAAACTAAAAAGAACGTGCCCAAGGTTCATGGGAGTTTGCTTGCATGCAGCTGACGGGCCATGCAACATCCAGGAGAGCAGGGGAGACAAGGCTGGGAAAGAAAGAGGCAGGATCCCACCCAGACAGGGACCCGTGCCGGCATGTGACGGGCACGACCTGCACAACAAGACCAGGGGGACAGGGCAGGCAGCCTCGCGGGATACAACCCCGGAGCGGCTTCTGACCAGGTCCCGTGTCTTTGGAGCAGGGTGTGAGCAGCCCTGCTCCAAGGGGGTGTTGGTGTGGTCCGCGTCCCGGGAGGAATCCCAGTGGCTCACCTGTGTGTCATAGGTCCCATAGTGCGAACAGGGATTCCCCCGAGATCAGAGCGCCCCGGGCTCTGCGCGACTGGGGCAGGTAGCTCAGGGACCCCCACCCCTCTACCTGGCCCTGGCGCCAGGGACCCGTCCAGCGGCTAAGGGTGCATCTAGCAACACGCGCACGCGCACACGGCAAGGGCACGGAGGCAGGGGGAGGGGGAGCAAAGGGCCCAGAGGGCGGCCACGTGTGGCTGCGTGGCTTCGGCCGCCCCTAAACACGGGCCACTTCCTACCAGTCCATGGATACGAAGGACGGATGCTTCTACGTGGAGTTGGTTTCGGTGGCATCAATGCCCCCTTCTGCCCTGAGCTGGGGTAGCGGTGGGGAGGGCAATGGGTCGCCAGGACCAGCTTCGGGGCCACGGATCCCAAAGCTGCCCTGGTCCTGCTTTGGTCACGTGGCTTGTGACGGTGCCGGGGCTGGCATGGCGTGCTGGGTGCTCATCTGTGGCGGTTCATGCTCCTTCCACGTGTCCGAACTTCCTCCCCCTCCCCCCAAACTCACTTCCCTCTCCCACAATGCACTTCCTCGCGCTCCTTCTCGGCTCCGCTCCAAGTCCTTCTCCAAAATTCAAGGGCGAGAAGCGCCCGGGGGCGCCCGCTCATCTCTTCTGGCCCGAGCTGACCATCACCCGCGAGACGAAGTTGACGATGGCGGCCGCCGGCTGGTCGGGGTCCAGCTCAGCAAAGAGGTGGCACACGTTGTCCGTGGTGCTGCCTTGTTTCCTGGCCACGAAGCCAAAGAGCCTGGCGGGGAGACGGCGGGCGTTAATGGAGAGCTGCAAATGGGGGCTGGGGGGCAGGAGAAGCCCAATCCTGGCTTTCCCCTTGCAGCTGAGATGTCCCAAAGGGACTGGGATGCTGCAAGCAGGCAGTAGGTGTCTAAACCCCCTAGGCTGAGTCACAGCCCATGGATCCAGCGGGTCTTAGGCAGCTCCCAATAAAACCGGGGGCTGTTCCTGTCCTCGAGGGGTAACGGATTTCATCAGGGCCCCTCACACAGCCGAGGGGAAGGGGCAGACAGAGCTGCTCAGATGGAGCAAGCCCCCACCCCAGCGCCCGCCAGGGCACGGGGACTTTTGCAAGCCAGGCTCGTCGACGCTGGCACCGCGTCTGGATGCTTGGCATGACAGGCATATTTTCCACCCCCACGGCCGCCTCGTCCCCTGCATCAATGGGGCATTGTCCGGGCCCGGCCCCGGGGACACTTCACCTCCCCGAGGAGAGGACCGTGCAGGGTGGGCAAGGGTGGGGGGTATATCCTCTGCAGGGCAGGACCGCCCGTGCCTGTAACTATCCCCCTTCTCGGTCACAAGAGGAACCAAATGTCCTTGTTCGAATTAGCCGTTATAAATACGGGGCTCGGGGGGTGCAGACTGCGAGACGTCTCCGGCCTGAGTCGCTTCTAATTAGAGAGGGAAAAATCCGGACAGCTGGGGGGGCTAAGAAAAACCCGCCACGGACACAATGGCTAAAATTAGCAGGGCCCGAGCTCCCGGGGACCTGTCTCCGGCCTCGCGGGGGGCAGAGGCGCGGGGCCAGGGATGCATCCGAGCACAGGGAGAGAGGAGAGGGATCCGCGGGGCTTCGGATGCATTGCCGCCGGCCGCGGGGAGGTGATGGGGTGCCCGGACCCCCGCTCACTCTGCCGGGGGGTCGCGGTGGCACATCCCCGCCCTGGGGGCTTTCCCCAGTGCAGCCCTGCACTGGGGAAGGGAACAAAGGAGCTTTGTCCGCCCCCGTCTCAGCCCAAGCCAACACGGCCTGAGACGCGTGGCCGCCTCGGACGGTGGGACGAGCGGCTGCTTTCCATTTCCATCGGTCCCCCCCCGCCGTCCTGCCCCTTGGAAGACCTGGACAAAGGAGGCAAAGTCACTGCTGGGTCTCAGCCTGCAGAGATCCCCGCTGGGGCACAGACTGAAGGGCCCAGGAGTCCGGGGAAGTGGGATTTATCTGAACCCTGCCCAGAGTTGGGGGTGGGGGGTAAAGGATGGGAAGGGACGTGACCCATGGCACTTACTTTGCAGGCCCGCTGCCCTCCGACTTAGCCCATCTGCAAGGAGAAAAGCAAAGCCAGGCGTTAGCTCCGGCACGTTAGCTCCCAAGCCCAGTCAGCCCCGCGCTCCTGAAAGCCCCCAGCTATTTGCTAGCATCCTCAGTCAAGGTCGAGCCTCTCACCGGGCACCACAGGGGCCTCCCATCCAAGCACAACCCAGCTTTGCTTGCAGAGGCTGGCCAAATTCAGTCTCCTGTTGCAAACGGAGTCCCCCTTGCACCCCTGCATGGGGTTAGCGCCAGGCTCCTGGCATCGGCTGCCAGGCACTGAGGACCTAGGGAAAGGCATCCTGGCCCCTTCCACCCACCCTAACCGAGCAGTGTCATGGAGAAGTTCGCACTTGGCCTTGACCCTTTCCACCCCCCGCTGCCCGTGGGAGACCGGATAGCCTTCCTCCGGGTCACCCGTGTCAGCCGGGGGGTGCGTGTTAGAGCTGGGGAGGCACTTTCAAGGGTCCTGAGCTGACCCATAGCGGAGGAGATCCCTACCCACCCACGGCCGGAGCCACAGCAGGCTCTTTGGAGGGAGACTCGTGACTTGAGCTCAAGGTTTCAAGCTCAAACCCGGAGGGTCCTGGCTGGAGGGTCTTGCCCCCTGCTCAGGGTCAGACCAACATCAAATTTGGGGTCAGGAGGGAATTTTACCCCACTGTCAGTTTGATACAGACTGTGGCGGGGAGAGGGCAGGATTTGCCTTCCTCTACTAGGGGCACGGCCTCCTCCTGGGATCTCTTGAGCATACAGGGGCAGGGGAAATGCCTGGGGCTGTCGGGGCAACTGGATGCAACCCCACAGCTCCACTTCTTTAGGTACTCTGTGAGTTTTGCCTCCAAAGCCCCCCAGCATCTTAGTCACTCTGCACTGGACTCTTCCCAAACCGCCCACGTCCCTTCTTGACGTGCAGGACCCAAAACTGGCCTTGTCCACCTGGGAAGTGTTATTCCCAACCCATCCCAGACAGACGCCCGCCTAGCCTCTGCTCGGACACCGCCAAAGAAGGAGATGTGCATCGCAGGTTATTTTCTCCCAGACCTTGGCAGGGCCCCGGGGGGAAGGGGTGTTGCTATTCTCTGCAGGGATCAACTGATCCCAGCCAATTTCCTCTTATTACCGGCTCTCCAGGCTGGTGCACCTCTCTACCAGACAAGCAGGGATCCTTTTCTTCACATGTAATACACACCCCTATTTTCCCCAGCCGGTGAAAAATTGCAGGTTATGCATGCAAAAATAGTTGTCAGGGTCAAGAAGTTACCCAACCCTGCCTCTAACTGAACCG